GCCAGCTGAGTATTCCTTATCTTCAGTTGCTTTTTCAGGTTCAAACTCTTATCTTTATTTTTCCCTTACTTATTCTTGCCTAGGAGATTGCGAAAGAGATCAAGCGTCAACAAAAGGCCAAAGAGAAAGCGGCTGCTAAGGAAGAGAAAGAACGACAGAAACAAGCAGCAGCTCAAGAAGCTGCAAATGGAGAGGAAAAAAATCCCGCAAACCCCCAAGACCCACCCAAGAGACGTCGGCAAGCAGCTTCTATCCAAGGCCAGATTGGAGATAGTGATCCAATGGTGTTCAAGGAAAGATTTCCTGATCACCAAGTTGCAATTTTCGAAGATAAGGACCTTGCTGCTTGGCAGGGTAAAATCATGTCTGCTTCAGCTGAAGTTTGTGTGTATCTTCATGTATATCCTTGTGTCTGAGGTTCCCTCGATTCAACAGCTCTTGGACAACCCTGCTAGACCTGTGGTTCTACGCATGCGGCGCAGCTTGGTGAAGAAAGTTTTTGAGGCCCAGAATGCCGATGATACCGAAATGATGAAGAAAATCCAGCTCATCTCTGCTGAGATGCGAAAATTCACAGCCGAGGCAGGGGCTGTTGTTCATTCAGTTGCCTTGCTTTTTGGACACACCTTCATTTGAAATGATTTGTATATCACGAGATAGGCTTGCAAAGCCCTGGAAGATGAGAAGGATAGGCACAGTGCCACCAAGCCTTTTCCTGAGAACATCAAAACCTATTCTCCAGATCTTGGGTTGGAATATGTGATGATGGAGCAGATTGACAAGCGGTTTACACAGGAGAAGCTTCAGTTTGTAGTTGTAAAGCTGTCATCAACCTTTCAATGATTCGTTACCACAGAGATATAATGATATGTGTGTGTGTTGCTTGATTCAATTTCATTTATTATAAAGGTTGACTTGCTTGTCCTTTGATACAGGATGGAGCAATGGCCGTCAACTCTGCCATGGTGAGTGAACAGACATTTGCGGATTGGTTGAACGCCCAGAATGATGATCGATATGAGAGCAAGGAAGCGATTGAATATGCTTTATCAAAGTGGTCATCAGCAGAATTCTTTGCTCACCGAAACGGTTCTGTGAACCAGTTTACACCACAAGGAGGTGTTGGATGGGTCATATACCAAATGGAAGGGACACGTATGTTTGCTTCTGCGCAGCTGTCTGAACTACATGACTTGTATGGGACGCAGATCCAGGACAGTATTTCTTCTACATGTCAACAAACATTCAAACCCGTTGCAACTCTTACTTCATAACTGACAAGTCTTTTGTTCCCAGGACATGGTAAAAGCATTGAGCACAATGACAGCTGCCAGTGATCAGCTGCAGGGCATGAAGTCGTTTGCATCTGGGTGTTTGCTTCCAGGTGACATTGTGATTGTTCCGGCGGGTGTTCTGATGTTGGAGAAGTTGTTGAACGCGCATTCAATTGGCATGAGGGCACCAATCCATATGTCTCATCAACAGTGTGGACCTTCTATCAAAGTGCTGAAGAAGGTGGCAGCAGAGATTCTTTGTTTTGGTTTACTCAAGCTCTTGTTGGGGGTGGGGTATGTTGTTTTCATTGCAGGGTTGACATCCACGGGGTTGACATCCAAGGAACATATGCGTGAATTTCATGTGCGAGCATGTGGACCGCTTTGGATCTTTGCCCGCTTCTCCTACTGCAGACCAGGCGGAACATCAAAACCATGACACCGCAGCAACAACAGCAAGGCCACAGCTCAGTGCAGAAGATCCAAACCATGACACCGCAGCA